CATTTTGAAGATGTTGGTGTGATGAACAGAAGAGATAGTTCTATGTATGTATATACAACTATTGTCGCATTTTTTGTCATATCCATGGAATTATCTGCCATGTGTATTATCTTCAGCGCCTCTCCGATGCTCATGGCTTTAACCAAATTGGTGAACAGATGATACATATGGGTGAATGTTTAATCCAGCGATGAATGAGACGAGATTGTGTCATGTATGGGGAAGACCATGTAGCCTGGAGCTGCTTCAAATCTGCTTCCACTTTGCCATGTGCTGGACGACATGTGTTATTGCCAGGGGAAGTAACTCCATCACAATTTCTACTACTGGAACAACAGCTATCCTGTGCAATAAATGATATTCATCTTCCATGGCAGACAAAAATTAATTGTTTTGATTTCTTGCTGACAAATTTCCATGGCAACATTGTTTTATGAGAATATATCATGACTAGTGTTGATGGTGACATAATACCCTGGTGCTGCCAACATTGTACTCTGTTGTCTGTTAGATGTACAATCAGTTTGGGCTTTATATCACACACACACACACACACACATTATGTAACATATTGTATACATGGTGAGTGGTTTATACATGTGTGTGACATTGTCTATAGTGTAACTATGTACATTGTGTATATTGACTGTACATTGTGCCTCAGTTTGTAGTGTCAAGTGCAGTGGTTGTGTATACTATGTATATATTGTCTAACCTGAGTTATGTATGGTTGTGACACGGGAGAGTTTTATATTATTTTTGTGAATTTTTAATCAAATGTATTTAATCAAAATATTTTTGGAATTGGTAGATTCTATTTGTTTTGACTGGATGAATGATAGTGATGGTTAAACAATTGTTGGAATATTTGTTCAAAATGAAATCAGCATTATCAAACTGTAACCCTAAGTAACATTCTTAATGTGTCAGTATAACCCACATTGTGATATTGAATCCATGTTTTTATCTGTAAACTAAACAGAAACGGCTTATTTCATGCCACAAAGTAGTATAATACATGGTTGCCATCCTCTCTGCCATAATAGTATAACTTCAGTTTGTATTCAACTTATTCATAATATATAATGTTGTGTTTATATCACACTGTGTTTTTCATATATGAATGAATTAATATGAGAAGTAAAGTATTTGACTAAATCATTTGCATTGCTTTATTCTATGGGTCCAGACTAGGGATTATCCCAAGATCCATAGCTCAGGATCCCAGTGACAGTATTTGAATGGAGCTCACCTGGAGGGGCCCAAACAGAATGTAATACTTTGTATGTTGCTGAGAACCCCAGCAGTGACAATGTGTACACTGATGCTTGTTCTTTTTTGTTACAAGTCCCAGTGGGTATATTACAAATACTGAAACCTTCCAAGTCATTGCTGGGCTGTTTGATATACAGCAACCCTGTTGCAAGTGATGCTATTCTTATATTGTTTAAGGAAGGAAGTCTTTGTCCCAAACAATTACTGTAACACCTTTCATATGGGGATCTTTGAAGTCTCCAAAACTTTTATAACCTAAGTTACTTGTTAAGATTTGCAAAGCAAATAGGTATTTTGAATAAAAAGGTCACACAAATGTTGATATTTTATATATCTTTAATGAGATAAATAGTTGAACAGACATATGACAGATTTGCATGACCATAGTGTCACATGACCATAAATATACTACTTTGCAAAAGAAAGTTATCACCGACTTCACTTGACCCAAAAAATTAGAAACAAATACGTATGTTAGATTTATGATAATTGTTTTACAATCAGAAATCATTTTCGAATAATTTGACTGAAAATTCATTGTAATTCCAGTCTTGCATTTGTCGCAGTTCATTAAGAAAGAGTCAAGGGGTCAAAATTAAAAATTACACAAATCAGAGTTCATTCAGAAAGTGCATAAAGAGTCACACTTCATCAATAGCAAGTGTGACCACCCAGGACACCACAATAGGTATTAACACTTCATCCCTGTATCTCTGGGCATTCAGATTTCCTCGGATGATTACCAGTCTTCTTGTTCTCTGGCCACAAATGTCACCCCATACCATGACGCCGCCTCCATCAAACGGATGCACTTCTTGAACACAGTTTGGCGCCAGTCGCTCTCCTGTACATTTAAAAAACCCTCGAACTCCGCCATCGTTTCTGAACAGCCTGAAGTGACTTTCACCTGTAAAGAGCACTCTCTCCCAGTCACGTCGCTGCCACCGACGTACAGTTCATGCCCATTGCAGTCTGCGTTGACGGTGTAGACAGGCCAAGGCCATTCCACGGAAGGGGCGGTAGGCTCGTATTCCATGTGTTCGTCTGCTGATGGAGTGTCCTAGTGCTCACGAATCTGTTCCGGAGGTGGATCTGCCGTATGTAGCGGTCTTCGGCTGGTGTCGTGACTCTTGGTCTTCCCGATCTTGAGCGGTCTTGGGTCTAGTCTGTTTGCTGGTGGTGGTTTATCAAGTTGCCTGGATGCAGTTGAAGGTTTTTGCCAGCTGATGCTATGAAGCCCCCATTTTGGCCAAACCGGTCGCCCTGTCTCGTTGCCCTGGCGTAAGTCTTGGCATGTTCGTGATGGTTGTTTTGGCTACTGCATGCTTGCATCGGGTTTTATGCCAAACCCATGCACTTACATCTGGCTGATTGTCCCACAATTACGTCTTCCGCGTTTTGAAAAATACACAATTGGTACAAGGTTTCGAACAGCTGCGTTGTTATTGGGCCATATGGCGTTTTGGAGAATGTTTTCTGCTTGGGTTCAAACCTGTGCCAGGGTTTTTATTTCTTATACAATTACTTTAAAAGTGATCACTTTCTTCTGTCTAATAGTTTATACATATCGCGTGGGCGAGCGATCGAAGGCGCCAGGCTAGTGATCCAGCGAGTTTAAGACGCCAGGATCGAGCCCACCTGCGACCGGGTGTAAAAACCTTGGTGTCAACTTTGTGTGCAGATTCTTTCAGTGTTGTCACAAGTGTACAGTACACAACCAAATCCGTTGGTAAATGACCCGATGGTGGCCACATGAATACGTGAAAACACCTAGTTGCGGGTACAGCAACGTACAGTAAACTTGGACAAAGTACTATGACTATGTGTCCGAGTCCACCCAGCTGTGAATGGGTATCTTGTAAGGATGGGAAAGCCACATTAACTTGGTGTGCCTAAATGGCTGCAAGAGTTGTATGTCCCCAGAGAGTTGAGATTGAAAAAATATGATGTGCCGTAGAGATTTACATCCAATGATTGAGGGTAAAATAAAGTGCCTTTGGTCAGCTGAGCTGAGCAGGATATTGGCGCAAATGCAAATATCATATAATAATCATTTTTAGAAATCCGTTTCTATTCTCAGCACAATCAGTGAATGAGTATGGCTTTACGCCGCTTTTAGCAATATGCCAGCAATATCACGGCGGGGAACATCAGAAATGGGCTTCACACATTGTACCCATGTGGGGAATCGAACCCGGGCCTTCGGCGTGACAAGCAATCGCTTAAACCACTAGGCTACCCAAGAAACTTCTTGAAGCCATAAAATTCCAACGCTTAAGCCCCACCATGAACCGGGATCGTGGTTATTTTATCTCCTCGGCCTATCACCACCTAATGAAAGATCACCAGTAATCCACCCATACCTCGTCCAGCTGGCTTCTATCCCCCCTTTTGTGTATTGTAATCACAACCAATCAATGTGTACATCAACCTACTCTCTCCAACTCACATTACCATCTCAGTGTACATCAACTCATCTATTGTATAAATTCATTCTGCATATTGTTTTAATCACAATCACGCTGTACATCAACCTACTCTGCTCCAATCACTAATTAGCAATCCAGTGTATATCAACCATGTCAATTGTATATACTCACTATGCAGCTATGTATATATTCTCCATGCCACAACTCTTTGTATCACTCACTTGCTTGATAACGGTGTTAGTACCGACACCAAAACGTCGCACTCATTGCAATAAAGAAGTTGACTATCCATAGAACTTGGTTTTCCTACGATACACTTTGTTGCGCATGTAAAGGAAATCTAAAATAGCCTCAATTCATTAATACAAAAGAACATAACGCTTGCCCAACGACGATTGCTTGCATAGTTGGTAGTTTACCGGTCAGTATAAAATGACAAGTGAATTTCATCAAACAAACTTATTGAGGTCGCTTTGACAAGACGCCTTACAACAATTGACAGATATCGACGGGAGACAAGTAAGCTCATTATACAGAAATAAAGCGGTACGTGTGAAATGTTATATCTTCAAATTAATGTGAATAAGAACGATTGATGATGATGATTGGAGATTTTACGTGCGCTCTCTCACATAATGCATATTTTTCGCACACAAAATAATCACAATAAACTGAAAGCTCGCTTTGTACTGGTGATTACGGAAGTTGTGTCAGTTATTAACTTCCGTAATCTAACGCCCACTACCCCTTTCTTCGCCCGAGCCTACGCTTAGACAGATATGAGTATTACTACAAAGTACAGGTGGAGATGGAACTAGTGTACAACATATAAACGACAAAAGAATCGGCTGATGATGCAAAACGCCTGCTGTACGTCACTGGGTGTGTGAGGCGTGTTCCACTGACCGACCGTAACGCTACATCACAGACAATATACCGGTATATTATCTCAGTCACATGAATGCTTAATAAACGTGTTGATTTGTATAGATGGGACGATCGCTTGTGGAACTGGTCGGGATACCATACAACTCGTAGGTCTTGTCATTCCTATGCTGATGACTCTGTAACCACGCGGGTGAGAATTAACCCTCAGCAACCCATGCTCATGGTAATGCACGTATTGGCAATCACTGCCTTGTCTGGCCCAGAATCGCTGTATACAGACCGCACTTAAGAAGCTTCAATATTGCTGTGTGCAGCGTTAAACATCAAGCAAACATTTTGGAATTGTTTGTAACACATCCCATTGCACAAAGTGCGGACATATTTTAAGAGAAACAAACTCCATTTGCAAACAATTGATGATTTATTCCGTGATCACATGGCAGTAGCTGATGACACGCAGTGTGACGTCATCCAGTGTCATCATCTCCGTGTTCATAGTTCCACAAAAGATAAACAACAACGAACACATTTAAAGCAGTAAAACATCGTATATGCATGTAGACAGACTTTAACAAAGAAACATGTACTAATTAGTGTGCCGCCATGAAGGGATTTCTTGGCGCCTTGTCTTGGTTAGAAGCTCACACTCACTGATCGTCATGAATAGTTAAACTAATGAACACAAATGCCCTGTGTGTGTTTGATAACACTCCAAATCAAGACAAGTTCTGGCAGAAACTGAACCAATTCACATAACAAACCAAGCTAAGTCTCTCATCAGCACCTTGAGAGTTCACACAGTCGTTGGCCTCAGTTGCATGTAATACATTGAGAGGCGTGTCTCTCCGAACAGATCATAATGGTCACATGTATCAGTGTAGCTTGTAGCTTGCTACAGACTCAGGAGTGCAGCTGACTTGGCTCTCCCTGTATTTACACGCTTAAGAACCAAGTTCGATTGCCTCCCCTTGCTTGAATATTGCGTAGGTTGGAAAGAGGGAATTCTGTCATGACTGATGATAAATTCTTTGGTTTATGTATAAATAACATCAAAGTACCTTACAAACATAGACATATAATCACAAAAAGCTCATAAAAGATATTTCCGGTTTGGTACGAAATAATAATCGTCGCTCGTCACATAACCACATAAGCAGCTGCTGTAATAGACACATCGAAACTGCCAGACAACATTGACAAACAGATATAAACAAGCACACACTCTGCATGGATGCATTAAAGTGGTATATTTGCATAAATTATATGCATCTGAGGGGCATCATTACTTGACCCGTGCACATTCAGGGGATAATTGGTCTTCAGCAAACATAGCTGGAAAATTGCTGAGTTGCAGCGACGAACAACAAGCAAACAAAACATACTTGATAATCCAGTAAAGCAAATATCGCAATACCTGGTTAACCTTTCCAGTTGCTACACAACCGATTAAGGCATGTTATTATTCACATATTATACAGCGTCCGATGATCGCTAACAGAGTTAACCTCATCAGCCAGTGTTGGGTTTCGTTAACCTTCAGAAACTACTTCATAGCGAGATACGATGGCTCAAATGGGTTTGTCAGTGGGACAGGACATTCAACCCATCCACAAACAACCATGTGTCTAATAGTTCGTTCCTCGATAAATAGTACATAGTACATTCACATCTTTGTTCGCTGTTTAATGCTATAACGCCTCCTTAAATGGTTACCATGTTAGTCTCACCAAACTAAGATGAAGATTTAAATGCGACACCATGACAGATTACAAACACGCTTCATCCTTCTGTAAGTGTAACTTCTGAATGTTTAGTCCTCCTGTGAACGACCAACGACAGTACGATACTAAATGAGCACCTGGTCTCACCAACCGCAATATCCAACCTTATGAATATCCAATACAAGCAAAACATAAGACACGGTGTGCCATTTTGGTATGAAAATAATTAGAGTTAACTTAAAATATCCTTTGGGTGACATATTAAGTTATATAATAACTATATGAAATAATAAATATGTTGTACAATGACTCAAAGCTCTTGATATGCATGACCTTGCAAGCAAATATAAGACACGTGGTAGCCCCGACTGTACGGACGAGCCGACGACTTCCGGTAGTGGCGACGGTGAATACGACAGTTCAGTCCTCCACTGTTCATAACACTTCGGCCTTTATGGCAATCATACAGTTATGTGCTGATACAGGTCGCCACAGTTCAACCATACAGTTGTTTTTTTGACAGGTATTATGTCACACGATTGATAAAGTGTGTAGCAGCTCTCTGGAATCCTTCTCGGGGTGCTGTTATAACATGGCCCATCCTGCAGCGCTGATACAACCAGACAAACCCAGATGGGATGTTGTAACATTACACACCCGGATGTGTAGCTACAACTTGACATACCCGGTATAACATGACACATAAACATGACACATCCGAATGCCCAGTTATAACATGACACACCACGGCTTCTTGCCTGATCCCGAACAAGACACATTGTACTTCTTGGCCGCGTTAATGGCTGCCTCGAAAACGTCCTTCAGTCCGTCCTGCGTGAGGGCGGAGCACTCCACATAACCCACTGCATTCATTCGACTGGCTAACCTCTGGCCGCGCTGGAATGTGACTGGATTTTGCCCATCACGCTGTAGTTGCTGGATGTCGTCGCTGTACCCCTCACGTAAGTCTTTTTTCGTTCCTACCAGGAGAATCGGCGTTCGCGGCCTGTAGTGACGCACTTCCGGTATCCATTTTTCCTCGACGTTTTCATAAGATGCAGGGTTGACGACGGAGAAGCAGACGATGAACACGTTGGTGTCTGGGTAAGCGAGGATGCGCAAGCGGTCGTATTCCTCCTATACAACATAAAAGAAATACAGATATTTTCAGGGACATGGTGTACAGGAATATGGCGTTCGTACATGTGTGCACTTACATCACAACATCCAAGTCCGAGGCGAGAATGGATAATCTGACGGAATCTACAGCCTGATATTAAATCAAACTTTAATATTGTGGTATTAGGTTGTTTTCTTAAATATCCCAACACGTTCAGCATTAGCTATTTTGCAGGTAATTCAGCCCATTGCCTAAATAGTATCAAGTACCGTCCCGCATATCAAAAGAAGAAGATATCCATCAACAGTGACGACTGAAGTAGTTACAGATATCCTCAACTGCACGATTTCTCCTTTTGTTTTACATACACTGATAACAACGAAAGTAGGCGAAAGGTGTATTTTTCAGTTTTGAGTGACCACAGAAATGGGATCAGAACACATTCTTGCCGGTAGCCAAATAGACAACAATAATTCTTCGTATTTAAATCATTGAATTCTCGTATACACGCTTTCGCCTTTCGGACAACCACTTTAACACTAGATCCATGTTGGTACTATAATCTATATAATGTGTAGCACATTTTCTGCCTATGCACAGAATCAAGTCTCAGAAATGTCTACAAAACACGCATAAGACTTTCCACCCTTCTTTGATACATATCTATGCATTAAGCCCTTTACATAGATTATCAACTGTTGAAAACACTGGTCTAAACCCTGCATCTTCTTTTAGCTTCTCAAAACAGTCAGCCCAAAATACCAACTACTATTTGGAATATTCAAAATATACCTTTCCAATATACAGATATACCAAGATAGTTTTACGGACTGTTCCCTCCGTGTACACAGGGATATGATTACGGCCCTGCACCAAGAAAAGGAATCTGTTCTCTGTCGCATAGAGAGTTACGAGTATTTTTCAAACATGGGACAAAGAAGTCACACGAATACTTCAACATTTCACTTATGATATCACGTGCATTTCATGTAGGGTGCGTTTAAGCGATTCACTACAAACGTGAGTGTAACGTTACGTTTTTGTTTAACGTTGTTTTTTTTAAACGTTATTTCGTCGGCAACCATTCCTCCACATGTTGAGATTCAAATTGTGCCTGCAACAAGTCTCTTTTTCGAAGAGTATATATGTGTGTGTGTGTGTGTGCCCTCTCTCCCCCCCCTCCCATCATAATGTATGTGTGTGTATAGATAGATAGATAGATAAATAGATAGTTAGACACAGATGCACAAATGTACATTTATACAGATTTATGCTTTCAACAAGGACATAGAGTTACAGTACACCCTGACATTATTGAGAATTTAAGATTGTAAATTTAAAAAAAAAATTCAATACTCAATACTCACGTATTAAATGTGAATATTAGAAGAACATAACTCCAGATTCAAAGACAGGTGAACAGTTAGTATTTTGTCAAGTCACCATGGGCAGCAATGCAGGCTTCAATGCGGCGGGGCATACTACTGATCAAAGAAGTTAGAAAGTCGTGGTCCATGCTGTCCCAATATCGGACCACCCCTAACACACATATGCCACCCACCACGTTAAATTTCGGACTGTACTTTGGGCGCTGATACAAAGGGTTTTCAGTTTGTTTGGTCCAGAATTTCAGTGTATTAGGAAACAGTCACACATAACTTTCATCTGAGAAAATCACATTGTCCCAGTTAAAATTTCTATGCTGTAAGCACCAGTTCAACCTTCGCTCCTTTAGTTCAGGTTTCATGATCGGTGATGGAATTCCTCGACTTTTCTGCCAACCCATTGCATGCAGCTTAGTTCTAATTGTCTCCTTACAGACAGCCACAGTTCCTCTATCAATCATATCCAGCCTTAAGTTTTCTAAACTCCTTCGTTTCTTTTTAGAAACAACAATACCAAGCCGCCTCCTGTCACCGACAGTCAATTTTCTGGGCATACCCGCGCCTCCCTGGTGCTCAATGCCATATCCATTTGCAATATTTTTCAAAGCACGATAAACAGTGGACAAAGGGATGCCTGTTCTACTTGAAATCACTTTAGCTGATCTGATGTCCTTGTTATAATACTCTAAAATCAACTTCCTCTTCTCTAAATCATCCATACTGAGGATCACTGAAAATGTTGTCTGCTAGCAAGAAAACAAAGGGGGATAACTCTTCACAAACTAATGAAAAAGGATTAACGGAGTTGTCTCTCTTGAATGGAACCAAGCACTTGATAGCTGGTCAAGGTTGTTTATACTAGAACTCCAATTAAACATATTCCTAAAATTCTCAATAATTTCTGGTCATACTATAGATGCTGACATGTGTTTAGTGGTATACACGGAACAGGTATATGGGTACATTATACATATTGTGACTGTGGGACAAACAAACCTGTGGACGAAAGCCCCCTATGACAAAAAACCCTTATGATAACACACACACACACACACACACACACAAATGATGGGACCCTTTGGACAAAACTCCCAAACATGTTTTAACTACTGAGTTATTGACTTAAGTGACATGTTTTAATTGAATCAGTAATAGTGATTATCAGTGACAGGGATAACAGGCCTCATTAATTAACTTAGTATTTCGTTTGTAAACATTATTGAGGTTGAAGTTTCATTATTGATGAGGAGTAACTGACTTCAAGAGTATAAAAAGTTTAATTAATCAACTTAGTATTTAGATATGTACACATTATTCAGTATTTCAACTCACTGTCACATTACAACTGGTTTAAATATATGCTCCATAAACTAAGCGGGCAGTAGCACTCCAGCATGGAGATATTGAAGAATAACAAGGGCGGTGTCAAGTTAAGCTACGAAGGTTATATGTATACCAAGAAGAGCACTGGAGAGTCATACCTGAGCCATGAAATGGAGAGTCATACCTGAGCCATGAAATGGAGAGTCATACCTGAACCATGAAATGGAGAGTCATACCCGAGCCATGAAATGGGAGTCATACCCGAGCCATGAAATGGAGAGTCATAGCCGAGCCATGAAATGGAGAGTCATACCGAGCCATGAAATGGAGAGTCATACCTGAGCCATGAAATGGAGAGTCATACCCGAGCCATGAAATGGAGAGTCATACCGAGCCATGAAATGGAGAGTCATACCCGAGCCATGAAATGGAGAGTCATACCTGAGCCATGAAATGGAGAGTCATACCTGAGCCATGACTGAGCCATGAAATGGAGTCATACCTGAGCTATGAAATGGAGTCATACCCGAGCCATGAAATGGAGAGTCATACCCGAGCCATGAAATGGAGAGTCATACCCGAGCCATGAAATGGAGAGAGCCATGAAATGGAGAGTCATACCCGAGCCATGAAATGGAGAGTCATACCCGAGCCATGAAATGGAGAGTCATACCTGAGCGAGCCATGAAATGGAGAGTCATACCTGAGCCATGAAATGGAGAGTCATACCTGAGCCATGAAATCAAGAGACCACAGGGCTTCAAGGTTGTTGAACCTATGTTCAGATCGAAGAGATGCTAAGATCTCCATTGAAAAGTTTCTAATCGGCGTGGGACATAACATCAGGTTGTGTTGAGAGGCAAATTAGTTCTCAAATTGTGATGTACCCAGTTTATGCTAGTGCTCATAATGTGGTGTAACTTGTTTATATGATGTATGATGTATGTACACATTGTTCAGTCGGAGCTTTTGAGTTTTTGTCATATATGGTCATATATGGTCCTAGGGGTTTTTTGTCCACAGGGGTTTATGTCCGCACACCCATATTGTTCCACTTTACTGATCAGACTTGGTGACATAGGGAACAAACTAAGTTGGTACGTGGGGACATAACGCTCACGTAAATGATTTAAGGTATGGTTGTGTACGCACAGCACACTAAAGTGGTACGTGGGGACATAACGCTCACGTAAATGATTTAAGGTATGGTTGTGTACGCACACTAAAGTGGTACGTGGGGACATAACGCTCACGTAAATGATTTAAGGTATGGTTGTGTACGCACACTAAAGTGGTACGTGGGGACATAACGCTCACGTAAATGATTTAAGGTATGGTTGTGTACGCACACACAAAGTGGTACTAAAAGTGGTGGGGACATAACGCTCACGTAAATGATTTAAGGTATGGTTGTGTACGCACACTAAAAGTGGTAACGTGGGGACATAACGCTCACGTAAATGATTTAAGGTATGGTTGTGTACGCACACTAAAGTTGGTACGTGGGGACATAACGCTCACGTAAATGATTTAAGGTATGGTTGTGTACGCACACTAAGTTGGTACGTGGGGACATAACGCTCACGTAAATGATTTAACGTATGGTTGTGTACGCACACTAAAAGTGGTACGTGGGGACATAACGCTCACGTAAAATGATTTAAGGTATGGTTGTGTACGCACACCAAAGTTGGTACGTGGGGACATAACGCTCACGTAAATGATTTAACGTATGGTTGTGTACGCACATGGTTGTGTAAATGATTTAAAGTGGTACGTGGGGACATAACGCTCACGTAAATGATTTAAGGTATGGTTGTGTACGCACACTAAGTTGGTACGTGGGGACATAACGCTCACGTAAATGATTTAACGTATGGTTGTGTACGCACACTAAAGTGGTACGTGGGGACATAACGCTCACGTAAATGATTTAAGGTATGGTTGTGTACGCACACTAAAGTGGTACGTGGGGACATAACGCTCACGTAAATGATTTAAGGTATGGTTGTGTACGCACACTAAAGTGGTACGATGGGGACATAACGCTCACGTAAATGATTTAACGTATGGTTGTGTACGCACACCAAAGTAGTACGTGGGGACATAACGCTCACATTTTAATGATGTTAAAAGGTAAAAGTACGCACACGTAAAGTAACGTACGTGGGGACATAACGCTCACGTAAATGATTTAAGGTATGGTTGTGTACGCACACTAAAGTGGTACGTGGGGACATAACGCTCACGTAAATGATTTAAGGTATGGTTGTGTACGCACACTAAAGTGGTACGTGGGGACATAACGCTCACGTAAATGATTTAAGGTATGGTTGTGTACGCACACCAAAGTGGTACGTAAATGAAGTTGGTACGTGGGGACATAACGCTCACGTAAATGATTTAAGGTATACGCACACCAAAGTGGTACGTGGGGACATAACGCTCACGTAAATGATTTGTACGCACGCTAAAGTGGTACGTGGGGACATAACGCTCACGTAAATGATTTAAGGTATGGTTGTGTACGCACACTAAAGTGGTACGTGGGGACATAACGCTCACGTAAATGATTTAAGGTATGGTTGTGTACGCACACTAAAGTGGTACGTGGGGACATAACGCTCACGTAAATGATTTAAGGTATGGTTGTGTACGCACACTAAGTTGGTACGTGGGGACATAACGCTCACGTAAATGATTTAACGTATGGTTGTGTACGCACACGTAAAAGTTGGTCACGTAAATGATTTAACGTATGGTTGTGTACGCACACTAAGTTGGTACGTGGGGACAGGTAGGAAGGTATTACAGGCGTGTGTACACTACGCAGATTAAAACGTCGATGTGATGTTTGAAGCGACTAGACTTATAGCCATCCCATCGTACATATTATCTATCCAGTGTACGAATGTCCAGCCCTCGACCCCAACATACAAATATTGCAGTATATTTAACTAGTTTTGCAATAAGAAAGTATTGACTAATACAAATACAGCTGTATGCAGGACATTATAAGCATTCATATTATTGAATTGTTGGTCGATTATTTTTATTACTGAAGACATGTGTTTTTCGGTCTCTCTATATTAAAGTACTGTCGGGAATGCTAGAAAAATGCTTTTTGACTTATATTTAAAATTCAGAGGTATTACAGTTACTTAAATAACAAATATCACTTTAAGAAACATCTACCTAATGTAGACCGAGGGAATAAATTTAGAGACATGCCCTAAAATGCGTTTTTACTGATGAAAATACCAAAAACTGAGAAAAATAAGGGGTAGTGGGGCGTTATTTGATACAAACATTAACTGCCTGTGTTACGTCATCAGCATGCACGGTATCGACAGGTGAAATTGACACCTGAGCACACGCTCGGGCGAGGGGGCATCTCAATAAATGTTTTCTTCAAAATGTTGAAAATGTGTACGTATAGTATACGTATTGGTTATGTAAGGGATCATTTGTGTTTCATTTGTGTATGTGTGTATGTGTGTTTGTTGTGAAATAAACATACGAATTACTGTACATTGGAAAGAATCCCATCACTTGTGTTATCTTATCGATTGATTGTAGAAATGTGCAACGTTTTATTAAATGTTTTGCGTGTCAACAGTGTATTTCATTGCAAAAATATGGATGTAATTCGGTCAGTTTAATCTAGTTGTGAACATTGGCCAAAGATTTAACGAAGTCACTGGTGTAGCTTCTTTAGAATATATATATTCTTCTTCTCCTAAAGTTTGTAGACCGCCCGTCTAAGAACTCGAGATCCCTTGTCAAAGTTGTCAAGGATGGTTTTACGTCCCGGTTTTGCTTTTGAGACGGTCCCTGTCTTGTCTAATTTGTTTTGCAATATTGCAAACTTGTTGGTAAGACATACCAACAGCTCTACAGGTTCTGTAATAAACTATTTCTATACAAATGAAAGGTATACCTCTGTTTTTTCAAGCACAAAAAACTTATAAACCTTTGCAACAATCGTCTGCAAATAGTTGGCCAGAGTGGACGCTGTGATAAAGATGTGCACGCATGACGGGAAACTTATTTATCAAGACTTAACATTTATATTAATATTTCTTCAATAAAGAAACGATAATTAAGTAAAGTAACAAAAACATTCAACATTTATTTGTTTAAGAAAAACGTTAATTTATATTTTTACACCACCTGTATTATTAGCATAAATGTAAAGACTATTTCAGATTTCTGTTGTTGAACTCTGAAAAAATCTTAAGTTGTTGTTTTGGTACCAAATTCTCTCCTGTAAACTGCCCTTTTCAATTGAAATAAAAATTAGGTACACTATAGGTGAGTTGATATATTGACAACTTAATACATTTATCACCTTTCCAAAGATATTAAGGCTAAAAAGCATTTTTCTATAATTTCCGACAGTACTTTAGTCAGTATTCCTATGGTCATGTGACATGTCACACTAGTTCCAGCATGGTCCGCCTCAGTCACTCACCTGCCCCGCGGTGTCGTACAGACCAAGTACAGTTGGCTGCCCATCTACCGTCACCGTCACTGCAACAAAAACGGAATGACATTATCCCACCCAAGTACATAACTGAACCACGTCAAATGTTCACTGCTAGAATCAAATACCCGAATGACGAGCTGTTGAATCCATACTTGGGCGCACACTGGCTCTTGAATTGTTACCTTGCTCCAATGGAGTTACAATTTCACAAGAATACTGCATACTAATTCCAATGTTATGCCATTGTAACGCTCCTGCTGCGCGCCAGGATAATGTGCAGGCGGCGAGGAGAAAGGTGTGCGAGTCGTGTTGACGACCAACACGTATTTTTGTTTGTTTCTTATATAACGCCGCACTGAGTAATTTTCAGCTATTTGACTACGATCTGTTAATTATCGAGAGAGACCAGTTTCCTGACTATCTATCACGGGATACCATCACATGCATCAACCATTAGACGAGTTTGAGGGTATTCACTACATCACATGGGTGGACTACAGGGTACCAGATGTCAGAACATACCACTGAAGGGCTGGGATATTAGAACATACCACTAATGGGCTGGGGATGTCAGAACATACCACTGATGGGCTGGGGATATTAGAACATACCACTGATGGGCTGGGGATATTAGAACATACCACTGAAGGGCCGGGGATGTCAAAACATACCACTGATAGGCCGGGGATGTCAGAACATACCACTAATGGGCCGGGGATGTCAGAACATACCACTGATGGGCCGGGGATGTCAGAACATACCACTGATGGGCCGGGGATGTCAGAACATACCACTGATGGGCCGGGGATGTCAGAACATACCACTGAATGGGCCGGGGATGTCAGAACATACCACTGATGGGCCAGGGATGTCAGAACATACCACTGATGGGCTTGGATATTAGAACATACCACTGAAGGGCTGGGCATGTCAGAACATACCACTGATGGGCTGGGGATATTAGAACATACCACTAATGGGCCGGGGATGTCAGAACATACCACTGATGGGCCGGGGATGTCAGAACATACCACTGATGGGCTGGGGATATTAGAACATACCACTGACGGGCCGGGCATGTCAGAACATACCACTGATGGGCCGGGGATGTCAGAACATACCACTGATGGGCCGGGGATATTAGAACATACCACTAATGGGCCGGGGATGTCAGAACATACCACTGATGGGCTGGGGATATTAGAACATACCACTGAAGGGCCGGGCATGTCAGAACATACCACTAATGGGCCGGGGATGTCAGAACATACCACTGATGGGCTTGGATATTAGAACATACCACTGAAGGGCTGGGCATGTCAGAACATACCAAAGATGGGCTGGGATATTAGAACATACCACTGACGGGCCGGGCATGTCAGAACATACCACTGATGGGTCGGGGATGTCAGAACATACCACTGATGGGCTTGGATATAAGAACATACCACTGATAGGCCGGGGATGTAAGAACATACCACTAATGGGCCGGGGATGTCAGAACATACCACTGATGGGTTTGGGATATTAGAACATACCACTGACGGGCCGGGCATGTCAGAACATACAACTGATGGGCTGGGGATATTAGAACATACCACTGATGGGCCGGGGATGTCAGAACATACCACTGATGGGCCGGGGATGTCAGAACATACCACTGATGGGCCGGGGATGTCAGAACATACCACTGATGGGCTGGGGATATTAGAACATACCACTGACGGGCCGGGCATGTCAGAACATACCACTGATGGGCTTGGATATTAGAACATACCACTGATGGGCCGGGGATGTCAGAACATACCACTAATGGGCCGGGGATGTCAGAACATACCACTGATGGGCTTGGATATAAGAACATACCACTGAAGGGCTGGGGATGTCAGAACATACCACTGATGGGCTGGGATATTAGAACATACCACCGATGGGCCGGGGATGTCAGAACATACCACTAATGGGCCGGGGATGTCAGAACATACCACTGACGGGCTGGGGATGTCAGAACATACCACTGACGGGCCGAGCATGTCAGAACATACCACTGATGGGCCGGGGATGTCAGAACATACCACTAATGGGCCGGGGATGTCAGAACATACCACTGATGGGCTGGGATATTAGAACATACCACTAATGGGCCGGGGATGTCAGAACATACCACTGACGGGCCGGGCATGTCAGAACATACCACTGATGGGCCAGGGATGTCAGAACATACCACTGATGGGCTTGGATATTAGAACATACCACTGAAGGGCTGGGCATGTCAGAACATACCACTGATGGGCTGGAATATTAGAACATACCACTAATGGGCCGGGGATGTCAGAACATACCACTGATGGGCTGGGGATATTAGAACATACCACTGACGGGCCGGGCATGTCAGAACATACCACTGATGGGCCGGGGATGTCAGAACATACCACTGATGGGCTGGGGATATTAGAACATACCACTGACGGGCCGGGCATGTCAGAACATACAACTGATGGGCTGGGGATATCAGAACATACCACTGATGGGCCGGGGATGTCAGAACATACCATTGATGGGCCGGGGATGTCAGAACAAACTACTGATGGGCCGGGGATGTCAGAACATACCATTGACGGGCCGGGCATGTCAGAACATACCATTGATGGGCCGCGGCCGGGGATGTCAGAACAAACTACTGATGGGCCGGGGATGTCAGAACAAACCATTGATGGGCCGGGCATGTCAGAACATATCACCGACGGGCCGGGGATGTCAGAACATACCATTGATGGGCCGGGCATGTCAGAACACACAACTGATGGGCCGGGGATGTCAGAACATACCTTTGATGGCCTAAGCATGTCAGATCATACCATTGATGAGCTGGGCATGTCAGAACATATTGATGAGCCGAGGATATCAGAACATACCTTTGATGGGCTGGGGATATTAGAACATACCACTGACGGGCCGGGCATGTCAGATCATACTGTCTACTTCAAGGTAAAAACATCTCCTGTCTACTACAAGGAACAAGATCTCCTGTGTCGTTGTCTACGACAAGGAACAACATCTCCTGTGTCGCTGCCTACGACAAGGAACAACATCTGTCTACTACAAGGAACAAGATCTCCTGTGTCGCTGTCTACTACAAGGAACATCTCCTGTGTCGCTGCCTACGACAAGGAACAACATCTGTGTCGCTGCCTACGACAAGGAACAACATCTCCTGTGTCGCTGTCTACGACAAGGGACATCACCTGTGTCGCTGTCTACGACAAGGAACAACATCTCCTGTACCCCATTTTCGTTTCTGTACACGGATATGTACCCTAAACAAAGTCAAATCACAGAAACGTCCTGAACGTCAGAGGGGTCCATTATCGGCAACCAGAAACTGAAACCTTATGTATTTGTTCCCGTTCAACTACTGCGAGTGGTACTGTGCATCGTGAAATATTCGTTACTGTGCTCGTTTCTTATATAACGCAATCAAATGCATCTAATACATTATGCCCGGTTCTTGCAAGGGAAAGGCACTAAGCAGAATGGGCTTGTCCTATAGGGTGCATTTTAGTATTCTCATTTTGGCTGGGGTACATATTTGTATACAGAAACGACCCCTTCTGCGTTACTCAAAAGAAGAAGAAAATGTTGATCTGTTTGATCTTACTTTCTTAAGCTAAAATGTTGACTAAAAACTTCCCAACGAAGCTACTTACCGAATGGTTCCATTGTACTAATTGTAGAATTCGGACATAATGCATCGTAGTATCTGGGTTTAATGAAATAGGTCATTATTCCAGCGAAGCAAACTGAATGTACTTAATGACGTCACCGTATGTGACATCCAAGTCTGGCGAAACTGAAAGTAGTTCATGTTTACTAATCTATCCTCCCTGTTAATCACTCGAAACCCTGATTATAGACCGCATTCAGAGTGCTACCTCAACTCAAAGGTTGAACTCGTAGTTGGTAAACACAGACAGACTCTTGGTCGAGGCCTCACTAATGAAGCGTTTAAAACGCCGTCTCAGTCCGCTTGGGGCTTGGCGAGGATTTCCTCCTTAGTGTAGAGAAAAACTCAGTTGATGTTGCTGAACCTGGAAATAGCCGAGAAGCTAGAGAAACGGCCTAGTCTAAAGAGCACCTGGAAACTAAAGGACTAAATAGAGGCGAAGTGATAAAAAAGTCTTTTCTCGGCATACTGCGCGCACTTTAAAGCAAGCACGCAAGCCTGCCGTGCACGTCCCTAGCGTTACCGTTACGCAGCCTAATGACACGAGGATATTGGATTGTCTCACGCGCGCTGACAATGCCAAGAATGTCTCGCTAAATGTATGACACGGCTCAGACAATAAGCGCATTTTGAATTTTGCCGTCTTCCCTAGACAATGGACGGCCAGGAGAACAGTCAGGTCATACTTGGTGCCAAACCTTCTCTTATTGACACAGACATGTGATTGTAATGTATAATATACGGTATTTTTCTGGTTTTCGGTCCGTTCGCTCACGGAAAAAACAGTATTTATTTAAACCCCCCCCCTCAATTACAGCTTGGGCTCTTCCACATGCATTATAGACCATACTCATTATGGAATAAAGGGGTCATAGTATCGTTTAATCGATACAGACAGATGGCTAGGAAACAAAGGAATACATTATCAGATTCAGGTGAATACATAGCAAAACAGACGTGAGATAATTTATGAAACCAATACACTTACCTGCGTAATTTTCGAACACAGTAGGCACATGATCAGTGGGGAATTTGTTAGTGGTGTAACTGACGAGTAGACACGTCTTGCCCACAGCACCGTCTCCAACAACCACGCACTTGACATAATCTGCTCCCGAGGGTCGCGCATCTCCCCCGCCCTCCATCCCGTTGGGTCTGGCCTACAAATAACCTGGGGTAGTAGTCCAACTGGGTTGGTTAAGAAATAACCCGGTTTTCCTCTGCATAAAACCCAAACGCTGAAAGATGCTGTGTGACTCGCTCGCCGTCTGCTCGCCGTGCGCGTGACGTCACAACCAGGAAACAGCACTTGACAGTGGAGCGTATGCGCGTTCAGCCCTTGCTTCTAGTTGCCGTGTTGACTTCACTGGAACAGCCTGCAAACTCGTCATGCGTTTCTTTGGGAATGCACGTGCCACAGGAGTAAACCTATACCTCAGGAGTAGAAGCGAGAGGCGTGGATCTGTCTCTCAATCTGGACTTTCAGTCTTCAGTCCGTATCTACTCGCTATTAAAAAATACTATCCCAGTCCAGATAACAGTTCAAAAGTCGATTGCATGTATGTGGGGCAAGCTGACATATGTCAGTCCTCGTGAATATCCCGCATCCTGACTATACCATTGCGCTGATAACATGTTAAAACTGAAGTGGATTTTCAAATGCCAGTATTTATACCTTTACACCATGTATACGTAGTCATGGCGATGAACAGACGAGGATGTTAACTGGGGCGTTAAGTTTACATTGTGACGTCACAATGGTGATAACGCTCTGGTAAATCAGCCTGTCCAATAAAGTGATGTAGACTTATTTATTGTGTTATATTTATTCGGTCACACATTTCAGGGTACTTAATAACTTAATGGTCATGCAGAGTAGGCTGTCTCCACAGGACAGCGAGTTGTTCAAACTTGACATTAACATTCCTCAAGTCAGCAATATTCCAGCTATGTCATGATGGGCTGTGGTCAGCAATATTCCAGCTATACCATGATCGGCTGTGGTCAGCAATATTCCGGCTATACCATGATCGGCTGTGGTCAGCAATATTCCAGCTATGCCATGATGAGTTGTGGTCAGCAATATTCCAGCTATGCCATGACATGCTGTGTCAGCAATATTCCAGCTATACCATGATCGGCTGTGGTCAGCAATATTCCATCTATACCATGATCGGCTGTGGTCAGCGATATTCCAGCTATACCAAGATCGGCTGTGGTCAGCAATATTCCAGCTATACCATGATCGGCTGTGTCAGCAATATTCCAGCTATACCATGATCGGCTGTGGTCAGCAATATTCCAGCTATACCATGATCGGCTGTGGTCAGCAATATTCCAGCTATGCCATGACATGCTGTGTCAGCAATATTCCAGCTATACCATGATCGGCTGTGTCAGCAATATTCCAGCTATACCATGATCGGCTGTGGTCAGCAATATTCCAGCTATACCATGATGGTCTTTGGTCAGCAATATTCCAGCTATGCCATGACATGCTGTGTCAGCAATATTCCAGCTATACCATGATCGGCTGTGTCAGCAATATTCCAGCTATGCCATGATGGTCTTTGGTCAGCAATATTCCAGCTATGCCATGATGAGTTGTGGTCAGCAATATTCCAGCTATGCCATGACATGCTGTGTCAGCAATATTCCAGCTATGCCATGATCGGCTGTGGTCAGCAATATTCCAGCTATACCATGATGGTCTTTGGTCAGCAATATTCCAGCTATACCATGATCGGCTGTGGTCAGCAATATTCCAGCTATGCCATGATGAGGTGTTGTCAGCAATATTCCAGCTATACCATGATCTGCAATATTCCAGCTATGTCATGATCGTCTGTGGTCAGCAATATTCCAGCTATGTCATGATCGTCTGTGGTATGCAATATTCCAGCTATGTCATGATCGTCTGTGGTCAGCAATATTCCAGCTATACCATGATGGTCTTTGGTCAGCAATATTCCAGCTATGTCATGATGGGCTGTGGGCAGCAATATTCCAGCTATGTCATGATGGGCTGTGGTCAGCAATATTCCAGCTATGTCATGATGGGCTGTGGTCAGCAATATTCCAGCTATACCATAATGGTCTTTGGTCAGCAATATTCCAGCTATACCATGATCGTCTGTGGTCAGCAATATTCCAGCTATGTCATGATCGTCTGTGGTCAGCAATATTCCAGCTATACCATGATCGGTTGTGGTCAGCAATATTCCAGCTATGCCATGATCAGCAATATTCCAGCTATGTCATGATCGTCTGTGGTCAGCAATATTCCAGCTATACCATGATGGGCTGTGGTCAGCAATGTAATGACTTATCTGTTTATGTATGTATACAATTCAGTTCTATTCAATGGTTTATTGTTTTCAAGGCCAGTTGATGCATAATATAGTACATTAATATTTACAAGTAAATACACTCATGCATATCAAAGCAATTCTCCTCGTATATGAAACACATTGAATCAGTATTTTAACATGAAATTATAATCATTAAAATTCATTAAATATCTTAAACCATTCATATTTCTGCTCTGTTTAAAAATAAGTGGTACACCATCATGAGGAATTTTATAAATTGGACAACAATAAATAATATGAATTTTATCCTTACATTACATAAAGGGCATTTAGAATCAGGACTTTTATAATCACAGAACCCTTTTCTAATACATTGTATTCCTACACAACTGTAACAAGTTCTAAAAATAAGCAGTGCCTTCCAATATTTTATTTGGATCATAGATGTACAATTCTAAGGTAAATGATGGTTTTATAGCAGATTAAAATTGTAAAGAGGCTTTGTGTTAAGTTCTCCCTGCCAGTCTTGGTTGGCACAGTCAACTTATCTTTCATTAAATAGCGTTACATGAACATCCCCCACTCCCTGCTGTAGCCAGACATGACCAACACCATAAGTGAATAATAGCTGCATAATATTAGAAGTCCAGTTTGTGTGTTTTCTAGGACATGTTTGTTTCAACAAAAGATAGCATTGTTGTGTGTGCCTGGTATATCATGGCAGGACAATAACCAGTATCTGATACGGTTCGTATAAACCTTGACATACAAGGCATAACATTTCTCCATACATAGCAGCATTTGTGAAGGATTTACTGACATTCAATACAAATTTGCAAAATAATCTGTGTACTATTTCTAGCTGTTTCATTTGCTTATATCCCCATATTTTGCTTCCATACATCAAAATTGATACAATCGTCATATCAAATATCTTGAATGCATCAAAAATATTTTTATCATATTTACCAGTAAGACTTTTTATGGGAAATAGAGCTTTGTTTGCTTGTGCTAAAGTAGTACATGCTCTTATCCATAAAAGTTTCGGTGTGATCATAATACCTACATACTTGTACTTGTATGCATGAACAACTGTGATGTCTATATCATTATATAGCCATTTCTCAAGTTTCAATAGCCGTTGCCCCGTTTCAAAAACAATCACTTTGGTTTCATCAGTACTTATCTCCCTACCCCATTCCAGGCAATATCTGATATTCTATGGAGAACAACCAGTTGCAACTTATGAGGTGTATCAGCAACTAATTCAAGATGATCAGCAAAGAGTAAGGACAGAATATGAAACAAGTCTTCTGAGGGACCGTTCACAATTTATGGCTAGTGGGATGATGATTTTTATGAAGTAGCATGTACAATGTGAAAGACACCCACCCCCACCTCCACGATGACCATACCGGACTTGTATTAAGAGATACATACTCACATCGCAAATACAGTACTGTCATCTCCAGTGTATGACATTTCATATGATAGGTGTTTGTCATGTCTACCCATGTCTGAACATGAGGTACTAGTGATGCACGGAGGAACCCTGGTCCTATATGGTGCCACTGCTGGGCCGGCGTCTACAAGCTATATGGTGCCACGCTGGTGGCGTCACACGCTGCGGACGGAGGAACCCTGGTCCTATATGGTGCCACTGCTGGGCGGCGGCTACAAAGCGTGGTGAACGCCAATACGGAGGAACCCTGGTCACGACGTATATGGTGCCACTGCTGGGCCGGCGGCTACAAGCGTGGGTTCGCCCAGTTATTACTACGATGGTATAACATGTACGTTCAGCACTCAGCACCAGACTAACACTTAGTCCCTGAATATATATCCTATTTATAGTAACAAATAAACAAAAGAGCCCTAGTGAGTTGGGAGATAAACCTGTGGAAATCTAGACTTGCTTCATTTAGGGCTTTAGCATTGCATGGAAGATTTGGCTGGAGGGGAGATAATGAGGGACAGACTACACTCAACACTCACGTTGCTGTTACTGAACATGCCTCTCGAACCGATTCCAGGAAACCAGTGGGCTAATGGGTGCTACTAAAATGGAATGGATATCCCATTCTGCAGTTATGCACTGAACTAGTACAAGTGTGTTCTATTATGTGTAAAATTGTTTCAAAATTTCCCTTTTGAAAGTATACTGAAAGGCAAAAGAAACATCGTAATATTAGAAATGACATTTGAGTATCAATGGAGTATTTGAACCTATTTTTTTTAAATATACACCAGAAGTCAAGTTTGAGGAAACATGAATCGTGGTCGTATAGCCTGCATTGCCCAATAAAGTACTGTTTGAGATTGAAGTTAGAAATGTTTTTGGTTTTTGGAGAGGGAAAAGTTCCCACAAACACAACATTGAAATCGAGATGCACGTGCATCATAAATGCATTCAGGCATAAATTGCGGGCTTGAATGGCAATCATTCACTTGTTTTCTAAACACAGCAGCTATGACTAGGTTAACAAGAGATCAACCACAACAAGCTATTGGACGCGTCTGCGCTGGTCAACATGCTCGAAGTCATTGCTAATGACTTCAGTTGCAGCGCATTGAACGATAGAACGTCTTAGAGTGCGATACAACGCCACCATCAGCACTGATGACCGTCCATGTAGTGGTCAACCCTGTGTAACAACACGCCGCCAGGACCGTCATATCGTCCATCAACACGTGCAAGACCTATTTGCAAGGGCCAGAGAAACAGCTTGGGTGACCATAGGAAACCACCAGCGACCAGTCAGTGACCTAGCATTTGGCGACGTCTCCAAGCCAGGAACCTGTTTTGTCGATGTCCTGCCAGGAGACCCATATTCACCCAACGTCACCGCCGGGAACGTATCCAAGTGGACACAACAGCGGCAAAACTGTCGTGGGGGACAATGGAGAGGGGTTATCTTCTCTGATGACAGTCGGTACTGCATTTCAGTGGCGTATTATTTAAAAAAATAGGTTCAAATGTTCCATTGATACTTAAATGTCATTTCCAATATTACGACATTTCTTTTGCCTTTCAGTATATATGAGGAAATAATATAACAAGATCTGGCGCAATGATATCCTCGACAGAACTGTCCCATCACCTCCAAGTGATGTATTAAGTTTCCATCTTTGTATTGCTACCTTAACCTCGTCTGTGCTTCTGACATACGACAACTCATTATCAATACAAATAGTAAAATCATGGGGAT